TTTTTCCAGCCTGATTTTCTAGGCTTAATTAAAATTTCTTCCCTTTGATTCAGTATTATCATCTCCCACTACCACCATCAGCAAGCATTTATAAAGCAATTATGTACTACCTCCTAGGTTGTGAAGTGGGCTTAACACTGGACTCTTCCATAGATTCCCTTCTACTGAGTGATTCTGACAAGTCACTTAACTGCTGTCTGCCCCAGTTTTCTCATGTAAATGGGGTAGTAGTAATACCAGATTTATTGGGGGGATAATATTTGAAAAGCACTTTTTAAATCTTAAGCATTATATAAATGCTAGCTATTATTATTATTATTATTATTATTATCACCATTGTGTCATTTTGCTAAACCTTGAGGATACAAACAAAAAGTAAAACTTCTTCATAGAGTTCATGTTCTAATAGAGAAGACAGCATGTACATAAATAGGTATATATAAGAGAGATACAGAGAAGAAACAGAATAACCTCAAAAGGGAAGGCACTAGCAACCAGGGGATGGGGAAGCAGGAAAGGCCTTGTGGAATTTGAGCTGAGTCTTGAAGAAAGCCAAGATTCTCAAGGGCTGGTGAGGATCAAGAGCATCCCAGGCATGATAGATGGAGGGCCCAGGATGAGAAACAGCACCAGTAGGTCGGTCAGTATGGCAGAGCTGTAGAGTTCGGGGAGAGATAGAGAAGGCTGAAAGATAGGAAGGGATATAGATCTTTAAATATCAAAGAGGAGTTAATATTTGATTGTGAAGGTAATAGGTAGCTAGCTAATGGAATTTATTGAGTTGGATGGATGATGTGGTGACAACCTGTCTCTCTGGAAAACCATTTTGGTGGTTTTGTGGAGGATGAATTAGAATGAGGAGAGACTGTGAGGCAGGAAGACTAGTTAGAAATCCAAGTGAGAGGTGCTGAGGACCTGAACTAGGGAGATGAATGTGAGTAGAGATAAGGGGATTCATTCAAGAATTGTTGTGTAGATAGAAGTTAAAGGATTTGGCAGGGTGCAGCTAGATGACACAGTGGATAGAGCACCAGCCCTGGATTCAGGAGGACCTGAGTTCAAATCCAGCCTCAGAGGCATAACACTTACTAGCTGTGTGACCTTGGGCAAGTCATAACCCCATTGCCTATCCTAAAACAAAACAAAACAAAAAAACCCCAGCAACAAAAACAAAGGCAGTTGATGATGAGATGTGAGATAAGGGAGTATAGCTGAGGGCTACACCTGGATTTCACTTTACTTGACCTGGAGGATAGTAGTAGGGAAGGTGGGGAAGGGATGAGTTTTAGGGAAAAGATAATGAGTTTTGTTTTAGACAAGCTGGATTTGACATGCCAGCAGGGCATCAAGGTTGATGTGTCCAATAGATAGTTGATTTTGTGGAATTGGAACTTAAGAGGGGGACTAAAAGTAGAGATTGATTTTGTGTGTATGTGTGTGTTTATGTGTATCTGGGAGTCATTTGCATGGAGATGATAATTACACTTATGGGGAGCTGATGAGGTCACCAAAAGAGAGTGTATAAAGAAAAAAGAGCAGAGGGTTCAGTGGCATATACAGTTTGTGGGAGTGAAGTGGATGAAAATTCTGTACAGGCTGCTTGAGAAAGAGGAATCAGACAGGTAGGAAGAGAAACAGAGTCAAGAGTGAGCAGTGTGTCAGGAAAACTTAAGAGGAAAAAATATCCAAGAGGAGAAGATGGTTATCAGTGTCATGCTTCAGAGAATTGAAGAAGGATTGAGGGTGGTGAAAAGGCTATATTATATTAGGTTTGGCTTTTTAAAAATCATGGCTAACTTTGCAAAGAGCGGTATCAGATGAATGAGACTGGCAGCTAAATTGTAGATGGCTTAGAAGAGAATGACAGGAGAGGAAATGAAGTTTAGTAGTTTAAGGAAGGAGAGATAGAGAAGGATAGCTAACAGGGATGGTGGACTTTACTAAAGGATTTTTAAGTTTGAGAGAGACTTTGATGTTTGCAGGTAGTGAGGGAGGAAACATAGCCATTAAAGAAGCATAGGGGAAAGACTGGATTTCCTTTTAACATCCCTTCTACCTTTGACATTTTGCGTTCTTTGGAGCCTTTTTGTGCCCCGAATCAGATTCTGTATCTCTCTGTCACACTGTAATGCTGAACTTGAGCAGGTGGAGACCAAGGGGTGTGGAGAGAGACAACATGCAAAGAGCTACATACAAACAAGATATATAGGATATCTTAAGAATGATAAATTGGATATAATCAACAGAGGGAAGGCACACTAATATTAAGGGAGATCTGGAAAGGTTTCCTGCAGAAGGTATTTTAGATTAGAGAGTAGGAGATAGGCTGTGAAAGTGCTTGGAGTTGAGAGATGGAATGTCTTATGGATCTTAGAGTTTGTGGAGGGATGTAAGATATAAGAATACTGAAAAGGTATGTAAGAAGGGGCCAAATTATAAAGGACTCTAAAAGCCAAGTAGTGATTTTATGTTTGCTCTTGGAGGAGTTTATTGAGTGGGAGTGGGGGTGACATGGCCAGTCCTTGGCTTTAGAAAGATCAATTTGGCAACTGAGTGGAGGATGAACTGGAGTGGAGAGGGACTTTTGAGGCAAGGCTGCCAAGCAGAAGGCAATTGCAGCAGTCCAATCTTGTGGTGATGAGGGCATACACAAGATGGTGGCAGTGTAAGAGGAAAGAAGGGGGGTGTATTTGATAGATAAGGGAAAAATATAACAGACAAGACCTGGCAAGTGATTGGATATGGGGGAGGTAAGAGAGAATGAAGGGTTGAAGATGACATCTGTGTTGACAGTCTGGGTGATTTGGGAGAAGATGATGGTACTTGGGACAGTAATAGGAAAGTTAGGAAGAATTAGGATTACATACATAAATTTGTAGTAATTTCAATTTGCGTGGTTATATGACTTTCCCCAGTTATGTATTGTAATAGGTAAATAGGAGCAGAGGAGGTAGGTGGTGGGAGCAGTGGAAGAACCAGGGTTGGCGTTTGTCAAATGAGTGATCAAATGCAGGACAAGACAGTAAGAGAATTTAGAGAAGAGGATAGTGTAGAGTGAAACTGTTTAACCAGTGTTTCAAGATTGGGAAGTTAGGAGAATATAGCCAAGCTGACCTGGGAAGGTACTGAAGGGTGAAGGATTGGAGATCTTGGTGTGAATATAAAGAATAAGTTTCAGAGTAATGAGGCTTAGGGAAAAGTGGAAGGGTAAAAGAGTATTTTCAGATAAAGGAATTTCCAAGTTCTTGAAGGTCGAATCGGATCATTTGTGAATGATGGCAAGATGAATGCTTCCTTTCAGTTCTGCCTCTTAGAGCCCTTTGCTCTTTAAGGTTTAAACATTGTCTTATCTGAAGCCCATTGAGGCTTAACTAAGGTGCCATCTCCTATGGGAAGATTTTTCCTGACATAACCCACCCCCAGTTTTTAGTACTTTTTTTCTCCTTATATTGTATTTATGTATATATTTGGTTTTCTAACCCATAGCACTGTGTGTTGCAGGGTATAAGGGGTTCATAGTAAGCCTTTTCATTTATTTATCTTTTTAAATATTCTCAATGTTTTAAAATGTTCCCTAAAAGAATATAAGCTCCTTGAGGGCAGGGCTGGCTCCCCCCCCATGTCTGTTTGTCTAGAGTGTGTCATAGAGCTTTACACATATCAGACACTTAATACATATCTATTGAGTAGAATTAAATTGATCCAAGTGTGGGCTTAACTCGGTGATAAGGAACTTTTTACCTAATGAGGCACATTAAATAATAATTCTAATAATTCACTATAAGAAGTTAAAGTAAATTTTATATAGCTCCCTAAAATATAATATTTAGATTCATTGGTTGTTAGTTTCTAAAATTATTGGTGAAGATTATTCCCCTTTATGGCTGTATTTCAAAGCCACTATTCATAATCATATTTATATCATAGTCTTTAATGTGAGAGGAAAAAATAATTTTTTCCTGGTTTCTACTTGTTAGAGTGCCCTGAAGCCTTTGTAACATGTTAACTGAAGTGGTGTATGTTTCTCCCAATCATTCGTTTTTCCTAAGTAAGTATATAGAATACTAGTCTGAGAATATCACATTTGGATAGAACCTTAGAGAACATTAAGGAGTAGTATAATGAACAGTCTGAAGTCAGGAGCTCTAGTTTGACTCGCACTTCTAGGACTTAGTAGTCATGTGACCATAGACAAGTTCCTTAATATCTCTGACTTCCATTTTCCCAGTGTGTAAAATGAGTATAATGATAAATACTTGTTCTGCCTATCTCACAATGTTGGGAGAAAAACTATCATTATTATTATTAAATACAAGTCCCCTGATTAATAGATCTGGAAACTCGGCCCCAAAGGGGATAAGTGACTTGCCTAAGATCACATCTGGAGTTAATTCAGGAACAGAGACTAGTACCCAAGTACTAGTAGCATTTTCTGCCTAACTGTACTTCTGAACTTAATTATAGTCTGTATCATCCTGCAAAATTCTGTTAACTCAAACTTGTGGTTCATTATAGTCCCCTCTGCTCCTGGAGCTTTCTGTTGGAGAAGGTAGAGGGTAGATGTGGGAGAGCTTCTCCTAGATCCTCCATTTTAAGGAGGGAGTCCAGGGCAGGGCATCTCATGATTTCACAGATGGTCACTTTTTTTGGATTAAATCATGCTGCTCCTTTCCTCCCCCTCCAGTTTCCTTTTATATTGTAAGCTCCTTGAGGGCCAATATTGTCTTTTATTTGCTCCCCCCCTTTTTTGTATCCCTAGCAATTAGCACTGTGCTTTTGCGCATTGTAGGTGTGTTTATTTGACTGTTGACTAGACTTCTAGTCTGTTTCTAGCCAGTAGAATTTTATTGTCTACTATATGTTTATAATAGATACAAGGAAAGGATTGTTCAAATTTATGTATATGATCAGCAAATGACAGATTGTGATTAGGATTTAAAATTACCAATGATCTTTGTGTTAAATTCAGTGATTCTGCTTTTTTTTTTCTATTACTTTAGGTTCAACGACAGACCAAAGTTATCTTTTCGCTTAGATTTCATCTATGGCCAACTGATGTAGCCAAGAGTTACTGCACACAGAAGCCAGGTAACTGCTTGAAATCAGCCTGGTAATTTTACCATCTATTATTGTCCTGAAAAACAGGAGATTTAGTATCACAGAAGAGCATTAGTCACACTTAGTGATTTGATTGTGTTATTTTTATTGTAAAGTAATAAATTTTCTTGTGCATAGTATCTATTATTCTCCCAATCTATTAATTGGGAATTGATAATTTGTTGTTATAGTTCAGGTTGGCCTGATGGTAGTGGAAAGATCATTAACTTAACCATCAAAACATTTAGGTTCTAGTAACGTATATTATGTTAATATATTATATATATTCAAGAAAGGAAAAAAACATCCAAGAAGAAAAGGTGGTTAACAGTGTTATACTTAAGAGCATTGAAGAAGTATTGAGGATGTATTAATATAAAAGTGGAATAGGCTGCCTTAGGACATAGAGAGGTTAGAGAGGTCAATCTCCCCCACCCCCACCCCACCCCTTGTTTTTGTGGTCTGTAAGAAAAAAGTTAGATTACCACTATGTTATAGAGGACATTCCTGTTCGGATTGGATTTGGATTAGGGATTCTTAATCTGGGATATTCGAACTTTGAAAAAAAAATATTGGTAACCATTTCAATATAATGGGTTTCTTTTCTAATCCTTTGTATTTTATTTTATGCATTTAAAAACATTATTCTATGAAGTGGTCCATGTTACAAAAAAGATTAAGAATTCCTGTTTATATAATGTTTGATGTCACTTCCAACTCAGTGAGTCTGTTATTTACTAGTCATATGTTTTTGGGGGTATTTTTAATCTATTCTTGTCTTTAGAAATTTTTTTTATTACGAATTTGACAAACATCAACAATTATGCTCATTTTTACGGACAAAGAAGAATAGAAAAAGGTTGTATATGCCATGAATTTCTTTTTGCTATTTTAAAGCATTTCATTGATACTCTTTTCTTTTTAAAAAATATTATTCTCATAACTCCTTTATTTCCCCCTGAATAAATCTCCTTCTTTATGGAAAAAAAAATGAAAGCTCTCTCCTGCGAAAAATAAGTACAGTCAAGCAAAACCAATCTACACATTAGCTATATCTGAAAATGTATGTTTCATTCTATATATTTAGTCTGTCACTTCTCTGCCAAGAAATGAGGAACATGAATTACTGTTTTGTCTTTTAGAGTCATGGTTGGTCATTACATTGCTCATTGTTCTGAAGTCTTTCACTGTTATGCTGTTACAGTGCTATAATCATTGTATAAATTAGTTCTGTTTACTTTACACCACAACAGAAACTTTCCAAGGTTTCTATAAATCATCCCCGTCCCTTTTATCATTTCTTATGGGATGATAATATTCCATTATATTCAGCTAAGTGGTGCAGTGGGTAGAGCACTGGACTGAGAAGCAGGAAGACCTGAGTTCAAATGCAGTCTCACACGCTTACTGGCTGGACAAGTTACTTAACCTCTGATTGTCCCAGTTTCCTCAGCCAGAGAATAGGGAATAATAATAACACTTACCTTTCAGGGTGGTTGTGAAGACAAAATGAGATAATATTTACAAGGGCCTTGCAAACTTAAAAGTGCCATATAAGTACAATTATTGTTGTCATTTTTATTATATGTCATAGTTTCCTTTTCCATGCCTCAATTCATGGGATCACCTTTTTGTTTCCATTTCCTTGCTAATATGATAAAGTGTTGCTGTGCCTATTTTTGTACTTACAGACGCTTTCCCTCTTTCTTGGATCTTGTTGGGATAGATGTCTGATATTGCTCTGTCCAAGGTTATAAGCAGTTTAGTGACTTTTGAACTGTAATCCCAAATTTCTGTCCAGAATAGTTGGACCAATTCAAAGTTCTGCCAATAATGTACTTGTCCCCCTATTTTCTTACCGATTATCATTTTCTTTTTTTATCATCTTGCCTTTCTCTAGGTATGAGTTAGAGCCTCTAAGTTGCTTTAGTTTTTGATTTCTCTTGGAATTTGGGGCACTTTTGCATGTGATTGTTGAAAACTTATCTTTCTTTTGAGAACTTCATCTACTTTGACTGTTTTATCTATTGAGGAATGACTCTTGTTCTTATTTACTTGAATGAATCTTCTGTGTACCTTGGAAACCAGAATCTTATCAGAGAAATTTGCTACAAAGGTTTTTTTCCCCTTTGAAGTGAAATATAAACTATTTCACTTCAAATTTTCACTGCATTTATTTTTTTGTGCAAAAACCATTCAATTTTTTGTCATCAAAATTCTCTATTTTATTTTCTGTCATCCTCAGTTGTTCAAGAATTCTTCCTTTCCTTCTTTATTCCTCTGGTTTTTAAATTAAATTTAACTTTTGGTAATCAATAAATAAATCCACTTTCTCTCCCTTCTACCCACACCCTACCCTCCACTGAGAAAGAAACAAAATACGAAACTGTTGCAGACATGCATAGTCAAGCAAAATAAATTTCCAGATTGGCTGTGTCCAAAAAAAGGTCTCAGTATGTACTCTTGAGTCCATCACCTCTTTCTCATAAGGTGTGTATCATGTTTGATCATTAGCTTTCTGAAATCCTGGTTGCTTGTTGTGTTGATCAGAGATTCAACTGTCTTTCAAAATTGTTTGTCTTTACAATATTGTTGTCGCTGTGGAATCAGTTCTGGTTCTACTTTACTTTGCTCCTACTGAATTAATTCATAAAAGTTTTCCCAGGTGTCTCTGAAATCATCCCTTTCATCATTTCTTTTAGCGCTGTAATAGTCCATCACATTTATATATTATATCTTGTTCAGCCATTCCCCAATTGATGAGTACCTGCTCAGTTTCCAATTCTTTGCCACCAAAAAATGAACGGCTATAAATGTTTTTTTTATATCACTTGAGTTTATTTTGCTTAAGACTAGTCTTTTCCTTAATATACTCTCTATCTTACTGTCCTTCCTCCCCTTTTTCTCCTGTTTCCTTGTTGAATGAAATATGTTTCTATACCCAGGTAGGGGGGCTGTGTGTGTGTGTGTGTGTGTGTGTGTGTGTGTCTGTCTGTCTGTCTGTCTGTCTGTGTCTGTGTCTGTGTATTCAGTTCAGATGACGGTGAAATTCAAATGTTATCTACCCAACGAGGCAGCCAGGTGGCTCAGTGTGTAGAGCATTGGGCCTGGAGTCAGGAAGACCTAAGTTCAAATGTAGCCCTAGACATTTACTACCTGTGTAATCCTGGGTAATTCACTTAACTTTTGTTTGTCTTAACCCACTGGAGAAGGAAATGGCAAACTACTGTACTTTCTTTGCCAAGAAAACCCCATGGACAGTATTGGTGTGCTATGGTTCACAGGGTCATGAAGAGTTAGATGTAACTGAACAACCAAATAACAGAATTCCCCCCAACCCTTCTTTCTTGTCTGTATAGACTTCTGCTTGTATATTGTGTGAATGTATGAGATATTGTATGAGATTATTTCTACCCATTCTTTCTCTCCTGCTGAGCTCTCCCCCACCTTCCCACCACAAGAATATTCTTTTTCCCTTTTCTTTCCATTCTTCTTTCAGATCATTTCAGAGCGTCTCTCACCCTCTGTGACCCTTGATGATGATTAAATTTAAACTGCTAGATCATGTGTGATCTGACTTTGGCTTCTTGGTTCTTGAATTTTTTCTTTCTGACTGCTTGCTTTATACTATTTTCTTTCACCTGAAAGTACAGGATTTTTGCTTATGCTTTTTCTGGGAGTTTTCATTTTGGAGTTTTGGGAAATAATTAAATTTTTTTCTTTCTACTTTACCCTCTGGTTCCAAGAGATCTGGACAGTTTTCATTTGTTTTTCTTAAAACATGATGTTTATGGCTTTCAGATAATTAGTGATTAAAATTTTTTCTGCTTGATCTTTATTCAGGTTAGTTTTGTTATGAGATACCTTACATTTTCTTCTGTTTTTTTTCCCCAATCTTTTGATTTTGTTTTAGTATTTCTTGTTGTCTCATGGAGCTATTAGCGTTTCTGTTTTAACTTTTAGTGATTTTTTTTCCTTGAGTAAGATTTTGTATATTTTGTGCTAAGCTGTGTTGTTATTGTTGTATTTAATTTTGACATTTCCAGCGAGCACATTTTGTTAACATGAATAGATTAAAATAGACATACTGGTTTACACACACAGAAAGACGTTTTTGAAAATTTAAGTGTAAGAATGAAAGAACATTTCATTGAATGATGCTTGCCATACTTTATATATTGGCTACTCCCAACATCATTCAACTTCCTTTACTCTTTAGGAATTGCCTCTTCAATTTCAGCCTACCCCACTTTGATAGTCTGAAATCCACTGAGATCTTCTCATCCATTTCTACTAAATTCACTTTGAAAATCAGTTTATTGTTTCTCTTATCATTTGTTGATACTGTGACTTGATTCTTTTTCCAGTGATACCCTAGTTTCTCTAAAGTTTGCTTTAGACAGTGATGAGAATTGTCAGCATCTAACTGGGTAATGAACCATGTCATGCTCTTGAGTAAATGCTGCTGAGGCTTCTGTGAAGAGCCTGGGGTGCCAAGTAACTGTTATGCAGCACGTGGTTGGGACACCCAAGATGGAAGAAACTGATCCCTTTAGTGGCTCATAAAGAAAGACCAGTCTGTGACTCTGGGGGAGGCCTTGCAATATCAATTAATCACTATTTTTTTTTTTTGGCTAGGCAATGGAGCGAAGTGATTTGCCCAGGGTCACACAGCTAGTAAGTGTTATGTGTCTGAAGCCAGATTTGAACTCAGGTCCTCCTGAATCCAGGGCTGGTGCTCTATCCACCGAGCCACCTAGCTGCCCTTTCAATCACTATTAAGAGCTTACTTTGTTCCAGGCACTGTGCTAAGCATTGGAGATATAAAAAGAGGCAAAGGCAGTTCCTGCTTTCAGGGAGCTCACAATCTAACAGGGAAATGGCACAGAAATATATACAAAATAAGCTATGTACAGGATAAATAGGAATTCATTATAATAGGGAAAGCCCTAGAATTAAGAGAAGTTAGGGAAGGCTTCCTGTGGAAAATG